ATTAAGCTATATTCCACATATTTATGAATAATTATCCATGTTTGGGCCTACAATAACTATGTAAAAACGCACTTGTCAACTTTCCCAAACTGGAACTATTGTTTGTCTTCAAACAATTATAACTTAATTTCACATAAAATATGGTTAGACAACCTGTCATATCTCAGGATTGAAACTTAGTACTAAACAAAATGAACAGCTACAACAGTGCATAGTCAAATCAATCTCCACATGTTATATGCATACTTGACGTGTATGTGTGTGAAAACTCATGCCAACATATTAAGATCATGATTAGCTCAACACCCGACCCAGAGTAGTCAAATATTTCCTTATTTCGCTCGAGTGATGTACACACCCCCAAACTTATTCATTTCACTCTATTTTTCAGGGGTGAATTCGAAGTTGAACTTATTCAATTATAGTCCTTACCCTCTCTCAGTTTAGACAGATCTTACTATCACAAGTTCACACTTCAACAAGTAGAGATTCTCCTATTTTTTATTTCTTCAACCTTTGAGACTAAACTGAGCTAGTTCTTCAACGAATTAAATGTACCATTATATTTATGTAATTCTGACCTTATAAGGAATTGTATATATCCATTTGTATTCTTAAAACCCATACATCAGATTTTGTAAATGAATTCTATAAATAAAATTGTTGGACCACTTAGTTTGAGCATCTATTAGTTCTCTCACCCTCTCTCGAAGTAATTCTATCTTTTTTATTAAGGTACGTGATTAAATGATTATTTCATATACGTTTATAAGAGTGAAAATCAATTTACATGATCTCTTGATGATATTGCTTAATGAAATATATTTTTAAGGTCGAACCATCAAAGTTTGCCATGGGCCATTATGTGGACCGGGTAATTTGTAAACTTGGGTCATGGTAAGTCGTTTTCATTTCTTATGCTTGCTCTGCCTAGTGGCCAGCCCCAAAACATTAAAATTTTTAATGTTTAAATTTCTTTTATATGTACAAATTTATGTGGATTTTTATTTATTTTTAGTCCATTTTAATTTTTTTAAATCCAATCTGTGATGTCACTGACATTGTCTATATAAAGTAAATAAGACTTGAGAGTTTTTCTTTCAATGTATTGTGTAGTTACTATCAAAACTCTTCACAATGGAAGCGAAGACGTTGAAGAACTGAGTTATTGTTGTGATAGCAATGGTAATTGGGTTCCTAATTTTGGCCCCAAATAGTGTGAAATGTGCATTTGGAGTTGAGCTGAATTCTGCTGGATTTTCTTGCATGCAGGTAGTGTGCATGGATTCAGTTCAACTCCAAATGTGCATTCCACATTGTCTGCTACCAAAATTAGGAACCAAATTACCATTGCTACCACAACAATAACCCAATTCTTCAATGCATTTGCTTCCATTGGGAGGAGTTTTGGTAGTTACTACACAATACATTAAAAGAGAAACTCTTAAGCCTTATTTACTTTCCATAGGCAATATCAAGGACATATCTAAGATTGGACTAAAAAAATTTAAAATCCCCATAAATTTGTAAGTATAAAAGAAATTTACACATAAAATTTTTTAATACTTTGGGGCTGGCCACTGGGCAGAGCAAGCATAAGAAATGAAAACGATCTGTCATGACTCAAGTTTACAAATTGCTCGGTCCACATAATGGCACATTGCGAACTTTGATGGTTCGACCATAAAAATATATTTCATTAAGAAATACCATCAAGATGATTGCAATGATCATGTTGATTGATTTTCACTCTAACAGATGTATATCAATAATCATTTAATAACGTACCTTAATAAAAAAAAAAGATAGAATTACTTCGAGAGAGGGTGAGAGAATTAATAGGCGCTCAAACTAAG